GCCTTGCATATCATTATCGTCCGAAAAAGTTCTATTTGAATAATTAAATATGGAAAAGAACTTATTATATAAATGAAGATTTTTGTTTTCGCAATTGATCCGATGAATAAAAAAAGTAACTCCTTATTTTTTTTTTTTTTTTTTTTATTCTATTTTTCTATTTTAGCACTTCTTTTTTGAAAACTTCCCATGCACAAAAAAATAAAACAAACCTAATTTAATATAAAATTAATTTTTGTTGTTTTATGTATCTTTGATCATTTATGATTCTTTTTACGGGTAATGTAAATCCTTTTCTTTGTAATAGTAATTTCATTACTAATATTAAAACGTCATATTGATTGTAAATCGGGTCTTGATTTGGTATTAATTAATTGTTTGTAATAAAACCATTTTAACGTATTAAAGTTAAATGATATATTTTAAACGTAATCCCACCATGTTAGAAAGTATTAGAAAAAAAAGAGAGAAAGATCTTCCATTGATGCTCGTACAAAAACCTTTTTTTGTTGTTTTAGATCTTCCTTATAAATATTAAGAAAAAATTAAAAATATTATAAATATTTATTCAGCTAAGAATTTAGGTATTTTTAATTTAGATCGTAATAATATAGTCTCTACCTATTACTTAATTGAAATTAAATTAAAAGATTTCTTCTCTAAATAAGAAAGTTTTTTTTTTTTTCAATCAAAGAAAATCCTTTATGAGAATATGATATTATGTAATATTATTTTAAGAATAAAATAAATAAATAATATTTCTGCATAGAATTACGTATTACATAATTGAACGCGGCTGCGACGAAATCAAGTGTATATGACATAATCATTGCCATTATTGATAAAAATGACATAAAAGATCGGAAATCTACAACTTTCGTATCACGAATGAGTTTTCTTTTTATATGTCCGTCCTTTCCTTATAAATTTTATAAACTTTAATCATTTCTATTTCAAATATGTATTTATTCTATTCATATGAAAATTTATCGATTAAAAATCGGAAGAATATATATATATATATATATATAAAACACATATAATAATATATTAATATATTCGTGTATTACACAACATGATTATTCATGAAATCTATTCCTGATTTATCATATATTTACCTTATTACGTTTTAAATTTTGTTTAAAATCATTTACGAATAAAAATCACATAAAACTTTTTTGTACTGCATATTGCATAATTTTTCGCAATTTTTTTTGTTCAACTTAATAGTCTTACACTTCATGTGAATCAATAAATTTAACCTTTTATAGTTACTATTATCTCATTAGAAGAGAAGAATACTTAATTTTTTTTTTTCGCGCAATATTTTTATACCCCGAATGACCAGTATTTTTTTTATTTGTGAGGAAATGATTGTCCTGATTTTCTTGTTTGACACATAAATAACTTTAAATTTTCGTTTCCTAATTTGTTAATTATTTTTAATTTACCCTCCTGTTAATCTTTTTTTATACATGTATATAATTTTTTGAAAAAAAAGTATACGTAAGATATCACGCGTTGATTGAAATTTTCTCCGAATATTTCCTTTCCGGTATACCGTTATTTTTAGTAAAAAAAAAACTCCTATGAAAATCTACTACATGAAAGGCAAAATCTATTAATAATATGATGGGAAAAAAAAAGTCATAATAAAAACATGAGAATTACAGCAGGTTTACTCTTGATAATCAAAACGTGGATTATATAAATTAGAGATCAACCTATCAGTTATAGTATTTTTACGTGTACTCATTCATCATCATCGTTTAAAAACAGTCATGTATATTATGTATATATATATATATATATAAACCAATTAAAAAATATCTTACCATAATTGATATATTTTATTAATACTTATTATAGGAAATACTTAACATGTAGCAAAAGTAAAATAAAATAGTGTAATCTTCTTCAATTTAATTACATGCCGGTGGTAATTTAGAAAAATTTTTAGATTAAAAAGATTAAAAATTCTTATCATAAAAATCATAAAAAAAAAAAAATTCATATATAAGAAAAAAGATTTGAACTTAAATGAAATTAGGAAGTTTGGAAGGTAGAATTTTTTTTAATCGCATTCTGGATGCATTCTGGATGCATTCATTCGAACTTGAGAAGTTTGGATGCGTTCATTGAACTTAAGAAATTTGGATACATTCATTGAACTTAAGAAATTTGGATGCATTCATTCTCACGAAATGAACTTGGAAAGTTTTGGATGTTTTCATTGAAACTTGGGAAATTTGGATGCATTCATTCTCACGAATTCTTGCAACAAATTTATTTTTTCATATAAGAGGGGAGATTATCATAATTTCATAATTTGAACGAGAATAACTTTTTTTGTATAATAAAAATGAAAAGGTTAAAATTTAAATGTTTAAATACGAAAACAAAAAAAAAAAAAAATTATAATAATTTTTAATTTTTTTTTTCATTTCTCAATGAATTAATTATTTATCGTACGAGATTATCATTATCGTGTTCAAAATATCCAAAAAAGAACTTTAAATTATTATTGCTTTTACATTTTGAACATTGAGATGTTGCTTTTGGTAAATTTAAAGGCTAAACCACAATTTTTTTTTTTTTATCTTTATCATATCTAAAGTTTTGGTATCTTTTTTCATTTTTGTAAACAATATTATGTTAAGATTTTTAAAACAATAGGTTTTTTTAATCTAAATTTAGAATCCGAACAAAATTTTTTATTGGGACAAAAATTTTTTATTACAACTAGTTACAATCATGTTTACAAAAAAAATCACGTGATATTGAAATTTTTAATGTCCGATTATTAGGAAAAAAAAAAAAATTTAATAATTAAAAGTTATTATCTATTTTATAATTAATTAAAAGGTAATTTTTTATTATTTTAAAATAAAATTTATTAATTTAATCCCTTTTTTTATTTGATGAATTTTTTTTTTTTTTTTTTTTTTTTTTTTTTTTT